TTTTAGGTCCTAAAAATCCGTTCCCTGGTAATAACTAAATTTTAAATTTTTAATTTTTTTAATTATCATAAATTTTATTTTCGATAGAGTTGGTTTTATTTTAAGGCATCCTTTTTCATTGTCATTGCAAAAGCTAAGTGAACTGGAAACTGAAGTTTTTTAAATTCTAAAGGCATATCAGAAGGAATTGAAGGGGTCATGTGATTTGTGATTCCGAAGTTATGGCTGATAAGAACTTCCACACCCATGTTATGTGCTACGCCCCCTTTTACAATCTCATTTATATATACCTTACTATAAGCACCTACCGTAGATATGTTTGCATACCAAATTTCAAGTTCATGTGCCACGCTCTCTTTTATATATACCTTACAATAAACGCCTCCCGTAGACATGTCTTCGTACCAAATTGCAAATTCTTTCGACTTATGGTTTTATGAGTTTTAGCTGATTAAACATTTGCAGGTCAATTGGCGGTGCCACGCCCCCTTGCGAAATGTACGACATATTTTCAAATAAGACCATACCTATAACCTTCCCGGGGTAAAAACAAATAAGTCTGCCAAGTTTCGTGCGATTCCGTGTCGTGGCTTAAAAGGTATAAGGTAATAAACAAACAGACATTCACATTTATATATGTAGATAACAAGCTAAGCTCACAAAAAATTTCAATCGATCTGAAGAATGATGGGTTTTTTGGGCATGAGCTCTGCGTATAGATGCTCTGGTAACACCACTTTATATACATACATACTTTACATAATCCNTAAAAGGTATAAGGTAATAAACAAACAGACATTCACATTTATATATGTAGATAACAAGCTAAGCTCACAAAAAATTTCAATCGATCTGAAGAATGATGGGTTTTTTGGGCATGAGCTCTGCGTATAGATGCTCTGGTAACACCACTTTATATACATACATACTTTACATAATCCCTAAAAGTACTACATGTATACTATATGCACATTTTGGTTTGCGTTTTAAGGTTTTCGAAGCTTTCGAAAGGGGAGAAGTAATTGGAATTAATTTACATATCTATTTGGGAGAAAAAGTGTATTTTCAATGTCGCTGAATCACCAGAGCAAAAAGTGCTACGTACCGAATGCATTCTGTAAAAATAACGAACTATTTTAAACTGAAAACTTCTGCCCCTCCGGCTGCCGAATTTTCACAAAGAGCCGAAAATTCATCTGCCGAGTGTCAAGTACGGAAAAAATTAATACGCTCCGGCGCTGGGAAACTTGGTGCAGCTGATTCCAGAGTAAGAGTTCATTTCCACCACGCCTTAACTACAGTTAATGCCTATGGGAAAAGGAAATTAAAACAGGTCTTGGTGAAAGTGGGCAATAAGTTACCCGAGTCCCACAGTTCTCAGGACGTAATGATGAGATAGAGAAAATCTTATTGGAATTTTACTAGCATGTATGAATACTAACGTTTAGGCGTAGTTTGATTAAGGCCCAAAAATGGTCGCTTCCCTAAGTTTAAAAAATCAACAACATCATTGTTTTCAATATGCCGGTGATTTCACAACCCTCTGCGTCACGAAAATCAAGTTTTAAGTTCTCTGCGACCGAATTTATATATCCACGTCCTTGCAGGTTCCGCTTAATGATGCGTCAAATTTTGGTCACCGTTAACTAAGCGATAACGAGAATTATGAGCTCCTTGAATGTCCGTGGGCACCGGATGCTGCTTTTACATTTCCGCCTTCGGCTAAACGTAATTTGACATTTCAATTATCATGTGTTAAAATGTTTCGAAGGTAATTTTCTACATTTAAATTCAAATGCCATGCTAATATTTAAATTAATATAAGCGGTATTCATCTAAACCGATAGCTTTATNAAAGAGCCGAAAATTCATCTGCCGAGTGTCAAGTACGGAAAAAATTAATACGCTCCGGCGCTGGGAAACTTGGTGCAGCTGATTCCAGAGTAAGAGTTCATTTCCACCACGCCTTAACTACAGTTAATGCCTATGGGAAAAGGAAATTAAAACAGGTCTTGGTGAAAGTGGGCAATAAGTTACCCGAGTCCCACAGTTCTCAGGACGTAATGATGAGATAGAGAAAATCTTATTGGAATTTTACTAGCATGTATGAATACTAACGTTTAGGCGTAGTTTGATTAAGGCCAAAAAATGGTCGCTTCCCTAAGTTTAAAAAATCAACAACATCATTGTTTTCAATATGCCGGTGATTTCACAACCCTCTGCGTCACGAAAATCAAGTTTTAAGTTCTCTGCGACCGAATTTATATATCCACGTCCTTGCAGGTTCCGCTTAATGATGCGTCAAATTTTGGTCACCGTTAACTAAGCGATAACGAGAATTATGAGCTCCTTGAATGTCCGTGGGCACCGGATGCTGCTTTTACATTTCCGCCTTCGACTAAACGTAATTTGACATTTCAATTATCATGTGTTAAAATGTGTCAAAGGTAATTTTCTACATTTAAATTCAAATGCCATGCTAATATTTAAATTAATATTAGCGGTATTCATCTAAACCGATAGCTTTATCAAGCAGATATTCTTATAAATTTAAGAGCTCTGTTACATGAACGCCCCATACTCTCTTTTTGTATACACTTGCGACAGAGTTACATTGTCTTCAGGTTATCAAAATTATTCAGTGATATCGTTGTAGAAATTTATTTGAAATGTGTAAACGAGTTTCCATACAAATTTTGACAGTTGATTTCCAAAGTTTACACAATTATAATTTTATACGGTTTATAAGGTTTGATGAATACCCTTATTATGTTTCTTTACAGGCATTTTTCCAATGTACCTACGGCGCATAGTCCAACACCATTCCTAGACGCTGCAGATGTTTGCAATCAATCACTGTACCTAAAGGTATACCGATTCTTGCAGATAGGGCCAACAATTCCTGTGACACTTATCTCCAGTGAACGCTCCTTCTTAAGCTTGAATCATATTTACGAAGTAAAACTGGGGAACAAAGATTAGATGGTTAAGCTTTACTTAGCATCCACAGAAATATAGAAGTTGCGAATAAAGAAATACTGATTACAATATTTTCTTTTAAGTCGAAGCAGTAGAGAAATGATATTTCACATTTTTCATGCATACATATGTAATAACTCGAATTTATTGAAAAAAATATAGACATTTTGTACCACCGAAACGCATATTTGGTGCAACTGATTAAATGAAAAAAAAAATATAATAATTTTAAAACCCCTCCCCAAAAAAAATTCTGCGTTCGCCCCTGACGTCTGACAATAGATTATTATACATAATTTTAAAGGTCTATAAATCCTCTTCTCACAACATGTTCGATATTTAAACTTGAATGAAAAATAGTCATTCACAAATTGATAAATCTACGAAACTGTATTTTCTGACCTAAAATGACATGTCGCGACCTCTAAATGTAAAAAGTAATAAAGTTATAAGTAATAAAAAAGTAGTAAAGTAAATTAGGCGGTAAGGCATTGAAATTAAAAAAAAAATGTTAATTCGATAGGCACCCTAATGTATAAGTACAAAATTGCATACTTTTCATGCAAGGTTTTTTATTTTTTCCCGACATTTTTCTTTAAGTGAAGAAAACACAGATCAAAAACCAACATACCATCACAGCCTACCGCAGAAGCTTATTGCCTTCTTTGACAGATTGCGGTGAACCAATGAACTTTGTTTATGTAAATATGATAGACACTTTCTGTTTCAGAGACGGTTGCCTCTCTTTACTGAATTCGGAGAATTACCGAACTTCGTTTATTGCAGAAATTTTTTTTTAATTAGGCCTGGACAGCTCCGGTTGTAATGGATTAAAACCGGTTATAATGGACTAAAACATATATTTGAACTGGGACTTGACAACTGGGTACATAATAACATAGTTCCATCTTAAGCGAGTCTATTATAAATGAATTACACTGTACGAAGATATGAAAATGAGAATTCTTTAGGTTTATCACGGCTTTTATTAGTCAGGAACTATCTTCCACCGGTAATGGTTTTTTTCTCCTGAGAAGTATTTGTTATTAAAATATATTTCATAAATAGCTTAATATATCGTCGTTTAAAGAACAAAACGGGGTATCGTCATTCTGCAAAACCGCGTTAGACATTTGCTGGCAAAAATTGGATTTGCTCACACCAGCTCTTGGCTCAACCTTATCCATTCATATACTAGCCAGAAATGGAATTGCTTTACAAAAAAAAAAACCCTTTTGAAATATGAGTGTTTTTACTCTCTAGAAAATAATTTATGCAACCTTACATACGCGGTTTTGCATTTTGTTGATACGCGGTTTTGTACTTTAAACGACGATATGTATTTACCTTATCACAAAAACTTGTCCATTTTGTGCACTACCGCCTTAAGCTATAGATTTCGGAGCCGATTTACACCAATTCACTGATTCTAGCACTTAGCAAATTAGCCATGTTTTGAAACGTTATAGATATACTTATACGAGTCAATTAGAAAATGGAATGCAAAAATTAGAGCAAATTTCGCACTCACAACTGTCTAATTCACAATAGTCCATAAAATTAACAGAAAATTTGGGATGATTTTGTCCACATTGTAAAATGAGCAAAATTTTAAAATATGATAGATTTTAAGCTTACGGTGGTAGATGTGGTAGAAATGCAATTTAGCAAAAAAAAGGTAGATCTACCACAAAAGTGGTACAGTCCGCACACTGGCTAGAGCAGTGTTACCGCTACCGTTATTCGGATATGTGTCAATTCACGTCAAATGTCCCAAGTGCGCTGAGCGGTGCAAAACAAGCTACTTTTCGACTAGCTAGTAATCAGAAAAAAAAAGGGAATAAAAATTCGAAAAATATGATTTCTCTGGATTTTTGTAACGCATGATCAAAATCTATTTTTATATGAAAAAAATCCGCAACACCCTCCACAAAAAAAAGTTTACAAAATCAACGGTAAGTTTTAGCGACTTGAAACTTCCACTTTATCAGACTAAAATTTAAAAGGCTTCAAAACTGCACACCCGAAAATTTTCTAAATATTCTGATTAAAAATTAGAAATTTCGATGTAAATTTTTGAAAATTATTAAAAATAAATAAATAAAAATAAGTTGCAAACAATATCATTTTGAATTTCGGTGCTAATTAGTTGAACGCAGGTGTAGCTGTTTGTGCCCAGTACGGAAAGAAACTAGTTTAAATATCGATGTTCTACTAGTTTTTTAATCACGACAACTAATTGAAGATCTGATTTTCTTCCTTGGAACGAACTGTTTATTTTAACATGGCGATGTCCTAGGGAGCAGTCAATTATCCGACTCTGCATTTGATTTCAACTACTTTAAAATGCATTTGGCTTAAAGCACTTCGCTTTCGTTTTGCACGTCACAGATGCTTTTTCATATTTCCAAGACACAAAAACATTATTATCATTTTCACATGTTGTCTCTGGTGGGCTTCGACCAAAATCAAAGGTCTATGGACAAAATTTACGGTTACCTGGAGAGCTTGTTGTTGAATCTCAAAATGATTTTAGTAATACAGATTTTTTAACAAGATTAAGAAGTTATTTCAGAAATTCACGTTCAAATTTATCTCACCATAACAGTCCTGGTAAATGTTTTATGCCAAGTGAATTAAAAACACGTAAATATGTTCTAGTTCGAACTATTAAACTTAAATCGGGTTTAAATTGTCCTTATGAAGGACCTTTTGAAGTCATTGAGAAAAATTTGAAGTTTTTTAAAATTCTTAGAAATGGTGAATCAGAAAATGTAGCAATTGACCGAATCAAACCTGCGTATATAGATCAAAGCACAATACAAATACAAATACACATGCAGGACGGAAGAAACGAGTTACTTTTTCTTTACTTTGATTAATTTAAATACTTTAAAATAATTTGTGAGGGGAGTATTTGTGGGGATTTTTATTTGATGTTATGTATGGCTGACTTCCAAAACGTCAATTGCTTTGCATACGTACAAAGTATAACGTTCAATAACGCCGAACTACAAAATGTTGACGATGTAAACTTTTCCAAAACGCATCCGAAATTTTATCGAAACGCATCGCTAGCGCAATCAGCGCATCGGAAACAAAGTTGATGCTTCGTTTGTTATTGGCTACCATTGGTGTTTTAAAAATGGAAAATTCATAAAAATTGTTCATTGGTATATTGAGTATTTAAAATATGCAATGCAATAATGCAACTCTGCTTATACAAACAGTTTGAATACCGCAGTATAACAGTTTCCAAACATTGTATTGATACGTTTTGGAAGCCAGCCTATGTATATACTTTATACTTGGAATACTTGTTTAATTGTTAAATGATGTTCTTTGGAATATTGTTCTTTTCGGAAATGAAATGTTCTTCATTCTGTCTTTCACATTTAAAGCTAACGGTTTTTAATTCTTAATAAATAATTTAAATAAAACTACAAGTTTTTATCACTAAATTCCGTTAAATGGTTTCCAAGATACAGCACTTTAAAGAAAGGTATGTATGACGTTTTCTTAAAATTTAAGTCCCATGTAAATAGGCAACCTTACGTCATATCGGCAAAATATGCTGCACGTATATTCATGTCACCTAGACCTTCAATCTCTTCAACTTTCATCCAAATTCTGAGGGGTCGCGCACAGAGGTGGCAGCGGTGACATGAAATGACTCAAGGGTCGTTGTCAAAATCCCATCGTCTGTATCAACTTACGCCGTTTACAGACACCGATGGTCTGTTGAAGGTGAATGGTAGGATCGACGCTGCCTACTGTCTGCCTATCACTGCTCGACGTCCGGTGATTCTTCCTCAGGAGCATCATCTAACACGTCTTATTGTGAGGTACTATCACTGCCAGCTACATACATCATCAAAACGATCACTTAACAGTGAATGAGATGCGTCAGAAATTTTGGGTCGCTCACGCTCTAGACTTGCTCAAGTCAGTCAAAAAAGAATATCAAGTGTGCATGTATAGCAACGCCCAGCCATCCGTACCGCTTATGGGACAATTACCAGAAGACCACCTCACGCCATATGTTCGCCCTTTTTCCTACGCCGGAGTCGATTACCGCGGTCCATTTTTTTCGCAATTGGTCGAAGAAGAGAGAAGAATTGGGTCGCGTTGTTCACGTCTTACAACGCGAGCGATCCACCTGGAACTTCGTCAATCGTCGAGGAGTTCCAATAAGAATCCGGAGCGATAACGGCACAAATTTCGTGGGAGCACAGAAAATACTTAAAAATGAAACGCAACTATTCGACTTCAGCCGTATCGAAGGTGAAATGGCACGCCGTAACATTCAGTGGATTTTCAATTGCCCTGCAAATCCATCAGCAGTAGGCTGTTGGGAGCGCCTCATACAGTGCGTCAAGCGATTGCTACAGCGCGTCTTAAAATTTGAAGCACCGCGGCTGCAGGCATTTCAAAGCATACTCATAGAGGCAGAAAACATACTAAACAGTCGTCCACTGACAGAACTGGCCATAACATCACAAGATGAGGAGCCATTGACACCCAACCACTTCCTGTTGGGGTGCCTCAACTCTACGCAAACGCCTAGCCCAGTCGAGGAAAGAGTATGTATTCGCAAGCAATGGCGCATAGCCAAAAATCTGAAGGATAGGCTGTGGAAGAGGTGGACTATCGAGAACCTGCCCCAACTCCTGCGACGCTCAAAATGGAGGGATGAGGCAGAGCCGCTAAAGCCGGGACAACTGGCGATTGTATGCGATCCTACTCGACCAAGAAGCCAATGGGAACGAGGAAGGGTGACCTGCAAGTAAGCTAGCCGCTTTAACTGTAAGTGAATCCTCCAGAGAATTCACCGGGGAGTGGGATGTCGATTTACAACACTAGCCCAGCCTAATATTAATAAAGTTTACGGCAACCCTGTCATCATGTTTTTACTTCCTTTGTATTTTTGTATTT